CTGATTAACAAAAACAAGCAATTGTTAAAAAATCATACACTGGTGAATCATTCACAATAACGCACAAATGTGTATCAAGCAAGTAAATAAGGCCAATAGTGATTTCATATTGACTTTGAAATCAATCTCCACATCTGGCACCTCTGTCTCTTGTATCGACCCATTCTATGGCATCTCGTGAAACAAATATATATTACTGACATAAATCACATGAGTTGTTTGTGTCGCAAGTAGTGCTGTCAAACGATTAATCGTGATTAATCACATCTAAAATAAAAGTTTTTGTTTACACAATATACGTGTGTACTGTGTATATTTATCATGTATATATAAATACACACATACAGTATATATTTTGAAAGTATTTGCATGTTTATGTATTTATATTCATATAATTTATATTATATATAAATATATTTAATATATAAACATAACATTGTTCTTAAATATATACATGCATGTGTGTGTATTTATATGCACAGTACAAACACTTATATTATTTAAACACAAACTTTTATTTTGGATACGATTAATTGTTTGACAGCACTAGTTGCAAGTAACTTATGAGAGGCAAAATGTTGTGCCAAGACTGCTGAGGACTTGACAACATTTTGATCTCCTCCGTCTCACACCTGCTCGCAGACACCAAGTACCCACTGCACTTTTCACACCGATTCCAACGCACAATCAAATATTTATGATACTGCTTTACAGTCCACAAAATATTTTACATTTCTCCCTTTAAGCAGGCGGCATTAGGAGACTGACAGCTTTAATAATGCCTCAGCCGTTAATATTACAGCTTATTTCCTCCCTCCAGTCTGTAAAATATGTAATTTTATATCGTACGTGTCCTTTTAAGGCTTCCCCCAGCAGTTTCGCAAATATAAACGGGCCGTTCGTTAAACAAAAACACTGTGGGGACTGTAAATGAACTTATTTGAAATGTCCCGGAGCACTGAAGTACCATACGTGAGCTTTAACGGTCTCGTAGTATATCACACATCGCAGAAGGAGAACATTTAATATCGCCAATAAACGTAGGAACGACCCTGTATATCTGCATGCTGCTGGTTTCACATTCAAACTCAAGGTGAAACGCTACTGAGGCCTTCAATGTCAAATCAGAGGCGAGCGAGCGCATATGGCGATGGAGCAATAGAAAAGCGATGGCAGTCAGATAACATTGTGTGAAAATATCGATGGCTTTCAGCGATTCGCGGGCCGTGTTGTGGTTGGCTCGGTCCGAGTCCTCGCTGATGACAGAAGAATGTAACATGAGAGCAGAGAAACTGCAGACTCCAACTTCCCTCTGACATACATGGGGAAAAATGTTTTGGCACCAGGACAAATACAAGTAGAAGTGATTTTGGAAAAGAAGAAAAACAGAAATCTGTCACGGTCAAAACAGTCAAGGCAAAGGACACAGCAACACTCACACTGATGATAAAGTTTTTATTCTGAATATACTTGAACATGAATTTTAGACAGTTCCAGGATTATAAACAGTGGGCTTTTTATAATTTCTGCCTTAGATAGTTACTTTTACTTTTTTAATTATTTTTTTAAACAAACATACAGACTGTCTGAATCAGGATTATCAAGATTCACAAGAGTTTTATGCGTAAATCAGTGGTTCTCAACTGGTGGACCAAAGGTCTGCTCTGAGGGTTACAGACTGTAGAAAAAACTGCTAAACGCAAATAATAAAATGCTAATAAGCATAGTATCTTGCAGTCAAATGTCTTAAAGTCAATGCCATATTTAATTTTATGTGAAGGAAAACAATGCTGTGAGGGACGAACATACAGTTGGTTGTACTGTTGTATACCTGTTGTGTTAATCATTCATCCAAAAAAACATTAAAAATTTCCAAAAATTAGTTTAAATTTTTTTTTTACAATTATTAAAAAAACACAGGATGACACATTAGTAGACTGCACGTTTAAATATCAGCTTTTTAAAGGAAGGAGTAAATGCTTCCTATATCTTTTTTAGTTGACGTCGAATACCTTGGCGTAATTTAATTAGTCATTTTACTAGAAGTGATTTAACCAAATTAGGCCGATGACAACACGGCTATTTGAAATTGTTCAAAAACCATGAACAAAACTATGCATGGTAAAAAAAAGAAGAAGAAAAAATACAACCCAGACTACATTAAATGCCGGTTACGTTTGGTATTGTTTGGGTCACCACTTAAAATCTGGTTCCTGAAGCAAAACCAGATGCGAACCACTGGATGACAGTACAATGGATGACAGGGCTAGGGATAAGTCCTCCTAAACCCTGACTGAGGCAGACTAACGGTCAACCAGGAGACAAGTGGAGGCAGCAGGATCTGACTGACCACTTAAAACACACTTCAAACTATCGGACAATTCCAGAGATCAAAACCCACACAGACCAGAGAGACAGAGAACCGAAACGGCAGCTTTTTAAATCACACTTTGCCATTTTCTGTTCCTGAGGTGACAGCATCTGAGCTCAGTCTACAGGAAGTTAAACGAAAGCCTTTCTTCATCCCAGTTTGTCTGAAGGACTAAGTTGCTAAATCTAATTCAGTATTTTCTAAGGAATAATATGAATTGATCTCGTATTTCCCCTAAACATCTGTCTTTTTGATATTCTAGAAAACACTTTCACCTCTATTAAGGTATCCTGTAAACTATTTCTATCAGAAACTGGAGACCCTTAATGCTTTCCAATACTGGTCCCAAATCAGATTTGACATTTAAGGTTAAGGTTAGCTTGGACCGTCAGGATCGGGACACG